TAAGAAAAATCGTACTTAGAATGAAAAATAGATTTAAAAAAGAAAGGCATTAGGTACACGTAAAGAAAAGCTGAAAATAAAATTAAAAAGGCGTTTTTGTAGACTTAGGTACAACATTGAAAGAGGACGATGCTATTTTTAAACTAAACCCACACGCCCTTTATTTATCTGGATAGAACTTCCAAATGTCAATCCAGATAACTGAAAGTCAACGTTCCAGTTGATCGTAATAAAAGTCTAGTTTTTTAGCAAAAAGTTAGGTAAGACATGGGCACAGCTCTCCAAAACGAATAGCGCGGGCCGAAACAAAAACCCTGGCAGTGTGTACGCCACAGAGATGCGGTTAGACGCAATGATTCATAAACTAAAATTTGTTTTACATGTTTTTATAATTTGCCTACTACAAAAGGACAAACAGGTAATAAAAAACATAATGTTAGTACCAACTTTTAACTTCTAAATCTAGATCATAACTTTAAATTCTTTTTTGTAATTCTATTCAAAAAAAGCATGCTACCATCGTTTTTGACCAGCAACTTATATAATTTTGTTAATTGAAACTGTAAAATTACTAGATTTAACTAAGGGAGAGTTTATGTAATCTAGCAAGTCTCTCTCTCTGTCTGTAACATAAGAAGTGCAGTTGTAAAATCAAAGTCGATGATTTCTGTTTGTTTTATAATAATCATCATCATCATCCATCATCATCTCAGCCATAGGACGTCCACTGCTGAACATAGGCCTCCCCCAATGCTTTCCATGCTGCCCGGTTGGTAGCGGCCTGCGTCCAGCGCCGTTTTGTTTTATAATAAATCTGTATTAATAAAAATGTAAACGCTTGTTGTAAAGCGCTATGGATTTTGTGTAAATGTTAATAGCCTAGCGTTGAAACGCAACTCAGTGGCGACACCAATCAGAGGTCCACCCGAAACCGCCGTGACGTGAGCTTAAAAGCTTTCGGGGATTTTTTAGTGTCGCTGCCGCCTGCAGAGCCTTTGAACGTAGGACCATTTCAGCAGACTTAGTTGGGTACTACTCGAAGGTTAGTTAGTTACTTTTACTGTATTTCATTGGTTCACCAACTTCTATTAACTTATGAAAAAATATGCCTACAGTACTTTTTATACAGAGATTTTATACAATTTTGACTCAAGAATGTTGCAATGTATTGACTATTTATTGATAGGTTGTTTGGATTAATGGTAGGCTTAGATTGTAAATTGTAGGAGTGTTTAAATTACTTATATTATTATGTTTTACTTAAGTGACAATAATAATAGCGACGATCAATTAATAAGTGAGCTAAGATGCGATAAATCTAACTAGTCGATAATATTTACCGGACTGCGCCAGAAGGAGGGTTATGTTTTTAGTAACACTATATCACTCTTGACACTTGCCATTTAAGAAGTTTATTACGGGATTTTAATAAGCAAAGACAATAAAAGAACGATCGTGGTACCTGTTATAATAGGACCTGTCACACTCATGATACTTTTTATACCAAAAACAATTGAATCTAAAAAAGTTGGTAGTTTACGTGTGCGCCCAGACATCTATAGTGATATATGAGGCCGATCCCACCATATTCAATTTTGCCTAGCTCGCCGGCTGGGTTTAGATTTTTAGACTGTCACAGACCGGATTTCACAGAGGTTATTCCAACGCTAGAAAATATACAGGATGCCCGGTGTGTTTGTGAATAATTTAGATAAAATAGGATGTCCATACGATTATTATTGAACTAAGTAAACTGAAAAGACGATAGAAAGATGTTGTTAATAGCAGTGTAGCAGCAAATCGAACGCACAGCGTTGAATAGAGCTCTGTGATTAATTCGTGTGTCACCCTGTGCGTCCACGCGCACTGTGACACCTCATAGTAATGTTTGTGGATACGGGCGTCAGACTTTACATTATGTTACATAATATCACCATCCCCCCTAGACAAAACGCACTTTTTGATCGAATCGAAAATCGAATCCGTCAAAACTCCATACAAAAAAGGGGCTTTTCGACCACTTATCGACCGGTTTGCGATTATAATTTGCACTTTGTCTAGACCCACATATCAGTGTTACAGGTTGACGTGCTGTCATATCGGTGTCAAGGTTGATGTACATCTTCTCCGAAATCTGTTAAACAAACAACCTGTATATTATTTAACCACGTTGACCCAATATTGTCAGTGATTACGAAGTAACAAAAACATATTATCACAATCAGAAACTGTTCAGTTTTATCTGACAGATATTTTACATATCTGACATCGTATGAATTATGTAATGATTTCACTGCATATCGCGGCCATGATGGGATCATGAAGTTTTATACCAAAACGAATTTCAGGTGAAATATTATTTAAATGGGAAATGCCAATTGGGTTTTATTATGACCTGCATAAAGTATAACGAGACTTGACTATCACATGAAGGTTTAAAACTTTTAAAACTATTTTTGTGGTTTCAATAAGTTTTTATGTAAGTTTGATTTTGGTTTTTGTAGCCGTTGCACTTAAATTAGTACTGTCCGGCTCTCACCTCACTGTTAGGGCTCTTTCCTAGGGAGACATCCCGTTTTTTGCAGGATCCTGTTTACCACCATACGTATTTATTTTCAAATACACACTTGTGTGTTCACACCACATTGGCATTGGAAAGGGCTCTTAGGCCCCTTGCCCACGGCGACTTTTTGTAGCGATACAGTCGCGCTTGTAGTGGGTTAGTCGCGCGTTGCAAATGCGACTAACGCGTGTTAGTAGCGATGCTGTTACTCGTTTACGAAACGCGCGACACCATCACTACAAAAAATCGCCGTGGGCGAGGGCTCTTACTATCCTCCCAAGGATTCAAACTCACAATCATAACTGGTGACGTAATACACAGCCCAACAGGGCAGTTAATCCGTAACTATAATTACATTCTTAGATCACATTTGTTTTTAATCACTGTAAAATTGTCGTCCGCTGAAAATCATAACATTTTATAAGTAGGTGGCTTGCATCCGGCAGAAACTTTTATTGCCTTTAAAATATCATTTTCAACAACGTTCATAACCGTTAATTTATATTGAGAACTTAAAGTAGTGTTTGTGAAACTAATTCGAGTTAGAAAATTGAATTTCGAAGCTTAACTTAATCCGAATTTAAACTGAAACGGTTAAACACAACTTTTCATAAGCTCCCAACAGGTAAATACGAAGAAAGCACACGCAGCGGCCGCAGCCCCAGCAGTGGTGCTGCAAGCGACAACCGGCCTTCAGTCAAAGGGGGAGTGTCTACATTAGCGCGGGGAGCGGCGCCCGCGCGCACACGCAGCGGCCGCAGCCCCAGCAGTGGTGCTGCAAGCGACAACCGGCCTTCAGTCAAAGGGGGAGTGTCTACATTAGCGCGGGGAGCGGCGCCCGCGCGCACACGCAGCGGCCGCAGCCCCAGCAGTGGTGCTGCAAGCGACAACCGGCCTTCAGTCAAAGGGGGGTGTATGATTTAATAGCTAAAATAATGTTGACGTACAAAATGGAGACGTGATCCCATAAGGGCCCCAATGTCACCCGATGTGGACCCCCGACCCAATGTGGAGCGGATGGATAGAGACTTTACTCGGAGTGCATCTTCGCGAAACTTCGTTTGACATATCTGGCGACATCATGACACATCACAAGGAGGTCGATATTAGCATGACATATGCCAGTCGCATGACACGTTGAGCGATGTTGCCAGACATATCGACTATCGAGTGAAGTCCGGCAACGTCGCGTCACTTCACCGACGTTGTTGGCGACACGTCGCGAGACATTTGTCCCCTAGCTTTAGATGTATTTTATGGATCCTATTTATCCAGCTTACCTTCCTGCTGAAGTGGTCGAGCGGCGTGGAGCAGGAGCACTCGGTGACGTGCTTGATGCTGCGCCAGTCCAGCGCCACGCTGCCCACCTCCGCGTCCAAAGCCGCCAGGCTGGCTGGGATGCTGTCGTCCGCCCTCTAATACAAGGTGAGACAGTAAATTAATATACTTTTACACTGTTATCTAAAGAAAGAAAGAAAAAACATTTATTTGGTACCAAAAAATAAAACAATAAGTACATTCAACTTAAAAAGCAAAATACATTGTACCAAATTGGTCTGTGCTCAGTATGAGGTCATAACGTACTGGAGAGCACGTTACGGCCACTGGTATTCTGCAGAAACCATGTATCTACTCCAATACACAACACAACTCCATAGAGCGACCGGTCGTTCAGGGAAAAGTTGAAGGATATCGCGTGGCAAGTCACCTATGCGCTAGACTGACCAAGTGAATCCGCGTATCTGACTACACCAGACAGTCTGGCAACAGGGAGATATAGCGGGAGATCGTGCGGAAAACTGTATCCGCCTCTACAATCGTGGGCCCTTCAATGTGACAACTGAGAAGAAAACTAGTTCCAAACTAGCAAAGCGACGAGGCACAGTAAGCGCCACGAAACCATTCAAACCAATATGGCTTACATGCCAGTATGCGTTGCGTGCGACACAACGGTTTTCTTAAGACCGCGTAGCGAGGAAAGTTTCCACCAAGGCGGAGCAGATAAATGTTCTGAAAAACCAATCAGATGTCATTAAAATTGAACGACATTGACAGAATGAAATCTAATTGGTTATTCAAAACATTTCTCCGCTCCGTGCCATGGTGGAAACTGGGCCTAACAAGTAAAACTTGTGCTATGGATATAAACATTACATCTATACTAATATTATAAATGCGAAAGTAACTCTGTCTGTCTGTCTTGCTTTCACGCCTAAACCACTGAACCGATTTTGATGAAATTGGCATAAATATAGTTTGGAAAGCTAGTAAATAAATATTGCTTATATTTCGTCAAAAAAAGTCTGATTTGTTGTGATTTGCATTCTTGTAATTTTTTTTATGCAAGACAAGGCAAGGCATATGAGTTTACGTCAAACGTCGTCACTAATGAGCGCGTTAAAAAAATTAAGCAATTCTTGAAAGTTCTGCTAGAGGCGCTGTACAATCCGTCATACATTTAATGTCAGTTTTTTACGCAGTCAATCACATCGAATGCGTTTGACGTAAACTCACACTACGCGCCCTGGTTGTTATGTGAGTAATTTTGGCTTTATAACTTACCTCAGTGATGAGAGGGATCTTGGAGGGCTTGGTGAGGGAGACGTCCTTCAGCGGGTGGTCGTGGTTCGCGCACTCCAGCTGCGACAGAGTGCCGCCAGACTCGTACAGCAATCTGTAAACATTATACTGGTTAGTTTTAGGCCTCAGCCTCGAGTTTAGCGGGCAGCGGCGCGGGAGCGGCGGCGGCGCGGGAGCGGGGCGGGCAACGCAGACCCGTTCTCGAAACAAGCGGGCAGCTCGCGCGGCGCTTTAGCGGCGAAGTGTTGTGTTCGGGGTTGTGTTATCGAGATATTTGTTTTTATTCGCAAACGAAATGTTTGAACAACCGCGACAATTTTATTTCGATCCAAATTTATTCCTAACGCTTGATTTATTGTGAGCAAAAGAAGGAGTGCGCTGCCCGCTCGTTGCCCGCTCCCGCGCCGTTGCCCGCTCGTTGCCCACTCCCGCGCCGCTGTTTTCGAGAACCGGTCTATTTGATTTTACGCATGAGATCCTGCCGCTCCCGCACCGCCGCCGCTCCCGCCCCGCTGCCCGCTAAACTCGAGGCTGAGGCCTTAGGGATTTGGACATGCAGTCAGCGTAAAATAGTTCGTGTCGTGTCACCCAAACTGGCCAAAAGTTGATAAAACAACCTTATTACAATTGTAACAAAGATGTGTTGCGAACTTATTGGCTACTTTGGGTGTCACGAACTATTTGACGCTGACTGTACCATAAATATGCTGGCTACTCATGTTGGTTCCAAACACTCGTCCAACGTCTGGATCAAAAAAAAAATATTGGCACCAACGTTGGGGGACAAGCTATTTTCTAAAGCTTTGGAGTCTCTGGATGCGTTCTGTGGTCTGGGGTCACGTCAAATGAACGCAGACCGCACCTGTTAGTTTTTTTTATGCAAGACAAGGCAGGTATTTGACCGCAATCGCACCTGGTGTTAAGTGAGATGCAGTCTAGGATAGTACATATCTGCCCTGTAAGTGCCTATTCATTTTTGTTGTTGTTTGCGTTCTTTGCTCGTGCCCACACTGTCAGATTGTTTCAATACAAAATGTACAGAGAGAACGACAATGTTATTCATATATGATGCGGGCTGCATACCCAATGTCACAGTAGTCGCCTGGCAAGTGAAAGGCCGTGGGTTCAATCCCATCTATTTTCAACTTTCAAAAATTAATTTGAGATCTATTTCTTAAATACAAAAATCCTAACAACTACTTACTTGTTGTCGATCTGCAGTGCGTCTGTCTTCGTCTCAATGTCCACAGTGTTCACGTTGCCGTTCTGGTAGTTGACCACTGCGGTCTCTTTGGACTTCTCCACCTTCTTGCCTGATAGAAGGTTCTTGAAGGTCGTTATCCTCTGCGAATGACAATAATTTTGTAATAAGCTATACATTTTGGAGTTTTTCTTGTACATCTTCATAGTCCAAACGTCAGAAAGTTGGCCTTCTAGTCTCAGAGGTCCCCATAAAGTTCACCATAGAATAGAAGCTGCTCCTTACCGGATGTGGTGGTCGAAGGCTATGGAGTGATTCACGGCAACTGTTAGCAAAGTCTAGCAGTTCCACCACAGACGACACAAGAAGCGCGGAACCTGGAAGCCACTGCTCACCCTGGCCAGGTAGTTGAAATGGTGGTCGAGCGCTATGGAGCGCTTCACGGCAACCACTTGCAGGATTCAAAGGATAATAGGTTGTTATAGTGTAGCAGCTCCACGAAAGGAGAACAAGAAGCCTGGAAGCTATAAGCTGTTCCTTACTCTGGTCAGGTAGTCGATGTGGTGCTCGAGCGCTATGCAGTGCCTAACGGCAATTTCTAGGAAATCTCAGGTCTTTGCTGGTCCTTTTTCCAGTCAGAGAGTAGGCTGTCTTGATTCAGAGATCCCTATAAAGTTTGGCCGCTTCACCAAAAAGAACAAGAAGCCTGGAAGCTAGAAGCTATTTCTTACCCTAGCGATAAGGATGGGTAGCTTGTGGTCATTGGACGATCTATCTGCATGGCGACCGGACTTTATTATGCTCACCCGCGCCAGGTAGGTGATTGGTAAGGAAGGGCGGCAATTGCTAGCAGGATTCAGAGATCCTTGGAAAATCTAATCTCTACCACAGGTGACACAAAAAGTATCTAAAAGCTATTCCTTACCCTGGCCAGGTAGTTGATGTGGTGGTAGGTAGAGTGCTATGGAGTGATTCACGGCAACTACTAGCCCGCTAGCAGGATTCAAAGGTTCTTATGTCGTAGCAGGCAGTAGCAGCTCCACGAAAGGAGAACAAGAATAAATAAATAAATAAAACAAATGTTTATTTTCTCTTCACAAAGGTAACAAAGAATAATGGAAACTACAATATTGTGAATGTTACAATAACAGAAGATGCCTGGAAGCTATAAGCTATTCCTTACCCTGGCCAGGTAGCTGATGTGGTGCTCGAGCGCGGAGCAGTGCTCCACGGCGGCGGGCAGCAGGTCGCCCAGCGGCTCGCGCGGGTGCACGCCGCTCTCGTGCCGGCAGTACATGCCGCGCCAGAACCTGCGGCCATTACTCATTATTTGTATTATTCATCATTCGTATTAAGAAGACTACGCAAGATTC